CTACAATGATGCTAATTTCTGCTTTGAATTTTTCCTAGCAAATGTGCAAAAAAAAAGACCTAAAACATTTGAAATGTTATTCTTGCTAATTCTTAGGTAAAGTTTGAAAAGTGATGGAGGACAATAACCAGACTGAAACTCTTCATGAGATTCTAAAGTATCCTCGGGGCGCCACGGTGTTTGCCGCTGTTTGTTCTATTATATTCATCATCACTGGATTGCTCGGCAACCTTTTGACTATCCTTGCCCTCTGTCGGAGTGTAAAATTAAGAAACGCCACCACAGCGTTTGTAATCAGTCTTTGTACAGCCGACTTCCTTTTCTGTGCCATTAACTTACCCCTAACGGCATCACGGTATATCCACCAGGCTTGGACATTAGGAGAAACAATGTGTTCTTTATTTCCGTTTTTCTTCTACGGAAATGTTGGGGCCTCTCTCCTGTCAATGACGCTGATAACAATCAACAGGTAGGTTGAGTTTAACTTTTACACCTAATTGAAACTAGGAAGTTTTGTAACTTCTGTGTTTTACCATTTAATACATTATAAAATTAATCATTTTCTTTGAAACCTGCTACTTTTCACGATACAAAAATATGAAAATAAATAACAGTTTGTTATTCAATTCACCATTTGTCTGTCACTGAGTTATACTGGTTTCGAAGAATTCCATCCCTCATTAATCTAGGATGAAGGCAAATCGAAAATAAAATGGGTCGCGGGTTCGAATCCATGTCACCGAACATGCTCGCCTTTTCAGCAGTTGGGGTGTTATAATGTTACGGTGGATCCCAATATTCTTTTTAAAAAACGTTGATGGTGGATGGTTGACTAGCTTCCTCCCCCTCTAGTCTATCTGCTAAATTTGGTACGGCTAGCGCAGATAACTCTCTAGCAGCTTTGCGCGAAATTCAAAACAAACCTAACTAATAAAAAAAATAACAATACAAGACTTGTAGGTTGACTGTGGTGAGTAAAAGACATAAAAAATACCATACACGTTATTAAAAGATCGTTGTTGTTTAAATGTAAGACAAGAAACGACTGAATGGGTTTTTCAACTTCCAAATCACATGAAAGCTGTTGTTTGGTATAAAACATCGTTAAAACAAATATCAGTAAATCACAGTGTGACATTTTGTAAGTAAGCGTTTGGATTCTGTTAAAAGTAATTGAGAAAGCTTGACATTTCGTACATTTCTTGTTTTACTAGAACAGAAGCACCTATCACTTCTCAGTCTTGAAGAGTCTTCTACATTGTTTATTCCAAGTAGTTTTGGTCACTTTAAACAAATCTTTTGTTTTTTCTGTCCCTGACAATGTTTCGCAAATTACTGAAAAAAAGAGTGTCTAAATTAATATAAACCCCTAATATAAACATTTAATCTAAATACAACTACTGTATGAACGTTCTATATCATTTATACTATGTTGATAATATGTCTACTTGTAATGGTTATAAATAAGTGTGAATATTTGATATTTAACTTACTTGAACGCTCTTTAAACTTTAAGTATTGCTTTATATTTTATTCTGTGAATAACAAACTTGCTCTGCGAGGTGTTCAGAGAAATAATATGAAGTTTTAAAGATTAGATTTATGTCTCTATTTTTTGTAAAACTTTAATTACTGCAAATAATATTTTCAGCCAATTATAATTAATTCTAAATTTCGTTTTTCACTCTTAAGGTTCATCCTAATCAATCATTATAACCTCTACGATAAAATATACAAGAAACGCTACGTGGCTCTGATGATTGCCTTATCCTGGATGTTCAGCTTTTCCATGCTGATGCCCACATTGGCGCGCTCATGGGGAGAATTTGGTTTAGACAGTAAGACATTTTCCTGTACCATTTTGAGACGAGATGGTGGCTCTCCCAAGAAGTTTTTGTTTATTCTGGGTTTCCTGGTTCCGTGTATTGTGATCATTGTTTCTTACTCATGTATCTTCTATAAGGTGATTAAAGTTCTTGGACATTTCTATAAACAGTAACCTTAGAAAATATCTTTCTAGATAATTATTTTTGTGGTTTTGTTTTTGTACAGAATAAGACACAGAAACAGTTAAACAGTAAAATTTTGACCATTTTTATTTGAACCAAAGTATATGATTCAGCCGTAAATATAATCTCTCTTTCACTCACTCACGCACAAAAAAAATTATCACCACATCAAGCCATAATAATATATTATTATATTCAGTGTACTTTCATGCCATAAACAGTCAAATCAAAACTGTATTATTATAACACTTAAATCATACGATACAAGAACTCCTATTTTAGTCTGCCACTTGTAATTTATTTCAATTCGACACCATAAATAATTTGTCCTAGTTCAAGAAAACAGATAATTCAGACGAAAATGAATGTGTTTTGCTTTATTACTTATAGAAATGATTGAACATATTTTTATCCACGTATCAATTATTAATTGGGATCAAGAGTATTTAGGTTTGAAACGACGGGAAGTTTGTTAAACAAAATCAGCTTGAAAAAAAAACTGAAACAGATGCTTCATGTTGCTTCTCAGCTAAGCCATGTTCAATTTTAACAGTTGTAACCTTTAATAGTCAATTTTAGTTTATAGCACAATCCTATTGTACGGATTATTAATTTGGAGTTTGATTTCTTCCTGTACATAAATTGTAGTATAATTATAGAAAGAAACAACATTTTTATTTCAGGTACGTCAAAGTCGACAGAATATTGAGGCTCACAGTCCAATGAGTCCCACAGCTTCATCAACTCTCAAGAGACAAAATTCCCAACGAAATGATGAAATTCGTCTTACCCGTATGATGTTGATCATCTTCTGTTCTTTTATTTTGTGCTTTCTTCCTCTCATGATTGTCAATGTTTTTGACAGCAGAGTCAGGTATGAGACAAATATTGTGAGGGTATCCTAAAGTATATATTACGAATATAGTAAATGTTGCATACTAAATTATGTTGATATTTATATTTCTTGTTTTTTTATTCATATTGACGATAGTGACAATAAAATCAGTGTGTCAAATACGCAGAGATAAGTTAAATAGAAAACAAGATGAAAACACCTTTATATTTATTATGTTTTCATACATTACCATTTCATTATTACAGTTGAAAAAGAATCATCATCATCACCCAGGACCCCATTAACCGCGAGGGGCCCTACTGACGATCCGGACCGCCAGTTTAACTCTCTCTTTTTTCTATAAAACTTCATATTTTATCTGTTATTTGTTCTGTTCTTACTGCATACAGAATAGACCAATTTGACCGAACTCGTAACCACCATGAAAAACACAAGATAAATCAAAATTGCCATTTTTTTCAATCTAGAATTACTTCAAATTGTGGCAGGAAACATTTCTCTACACTAAATAGTTTAAACTTTCTTTGCTCACGATAGAAAGGACATTGCTTAGGCAAATAGATTATGAAGCAGTAATTAGAGATTTTGCTTGCGCCAAAGCAAGGAAAAAACGATTTTAGGGTAATGTTTTGGCATGCTTCCGTAATGTTGTACAATAATTATATTGTTGTTTATGTACCTAATTCATTCTTATTTGCCATGTTCTACAGGTAGATAATTATTATTATTATCATTTAATTAAATATATCATCCTCAAAAGTTAGCTGCATCTTATTCTAATTTACTTCGAATAATTTGCTCATATTCTATAATTAACATAATATGTATTAATTATAATTAACTTCAAATTTACGTGGACCCTATACAAGGTGGCTCAAAAAAAAAGTGCGTAAGGGCCTCAAACTACCTTAATACGGGCTTGTCACCATAGAGTAACACTGTTCAAAAACTTTTTTTTACTTAGAGTATTGTCATTGTTAAGTTGAAAGTAAATAAAATTGCTTAAATTGACATTCCTTGCTCGGATGTTGAAAAACATTTCATGTAAGACTGTTTATCACGTATAAATCAGTTTATTAATCCACTATAACTTCAATGAAATAGTTTCTCATAATTGTTTGAAAAGAATACAACTACCCATTTTAAAATGCTTGATTTTTTCCATCATGGGTTAAATTAATTTGGTTTTACCAAGAGTGAAGATAACCAAATTAAACAGCTTTATAGTGTTCTATATTAACATGATCATGTCTTCCAATGTACAGTATATGACATTTTTTATTTATTTTCAGTTACATTTCTTTTCTTTTGGTACCGTATTATCAAATAATAATAAATTTGGCAGCAGTGAAAGATAATTTTTGTTTATTTCGTATTTTAACAATTCTATTATATATATATATTATTTCTTATAACCTACAGAGTTATAGCTAAACAGAAAAAGTTTACATTGCCCTTTTTATACCGTTATTGTTTAGTTGCCTTAATTCTTTCGTTAGTACCTGGGTCTGACATGGCCTAGTGGCTAGGGCGCTCGACTCCTAATTGTGGGTCGCGAGTTTGAATCCCGTTACAAACATGCTCGTCCTTTCGGCCGTGTGGGGCAAATATAACCAAACAGAAAATGCATACACTTATGAAATCCCGACTTTAGTGGTACTTAGGAAAGTATTTTTGTAACGCAGATGAAAGAAAAGTATACAATAATCATCGCACCTTTACAGTGTGTTTATCGTGTGAAAGGTCTTACATTTAGTCTATAACTTCAAAATTAGGGACAGTTAGCGCAATTAGCCCTCGAGTAGCATTGCGTGAAATTCAACAAACAAACAAGTCTTATTGCCTTTCACTATTTAAGTAAGTGTACAAGGATGAACAAAGTGCTACTAATTAACATTTGATTGTATGACGACTGAGATTCATTCGATGTTGAAATTTGAGATTTTAGGTTTCTTCTTACACTAGATGCTAGGGTTGCTTTTTATAATTTATCAAAGTGTATTTTTCAAACTGATTGGACAATGAGATCTGTGCCCGGCATGGCCAGGTGGTCAGGACGCTCGACTCGCAATCTGCGGGTCGCGGGTTCGTATCCCCATCCCACCAAACATGCTCGCCCTTTCAGCCGTGGGGGCGTTATAATGCAAGGTCAATCCCACTATTCGTTGGTAAAAGAGTAGCCCAAGAGCTCTAGTCTTACACTGCTAAATTAGGGACGGCTAGCGCAGATAGCCCTCGTGTAGCTTTGCGCGAAATTCAAAACAAACAAACAATGAGACCTTTAGAAAAAAAAAACAAAAAAAATCTAAATTGTTCCAAGGTGATCATGAAAATATATTCCAGGTTCTGTGCATTAATCAAGTATAAAGAAAAGTGCAGCAAAGTCCTTGTTTGAAATTTTTAGTTGTTTGGGATGTAATGATAAAGCGAGTCCATCAAAAGATAGCTGAAAAAAGGTATAAATCTAACAACTAACAAACAACAACAAAATGTAAATATACAATAGAATATTGCTAAAAATAATAGTGATACGTATTTTAGACATATCCGTGAAGTAATATTTCAGCACATGTTTAAAAATAAATTAAGTTAAAAATAACATCAAATTTCTATGATTAGTAGGTTAGTAATTTATCCAAAGACTTGTACTAAAGTGTTCTGTCATTATTTTAAGTGACCTAGCTAAATAAGCAAACAACAGATTTTGATTTAACTAAAAATTACAACCAGTAATTATGTTTCAGATACCCCACTATTCATGTCTTGGCATCAGTTCTGGCCTGGATGTCATCATGCATCAATCCATTTATATATGCTATGATGAACCGTCACTACCGCCAGGCATACTATCGACTCTTATGCCGAAAGGGTCACCTTCGCTCCCTATCAACAGGATCAAGTATAACCCGATCCCAGAATTCAACTTTTGGAGGAGCTTCTAAAACCGTAGTTTCAGAAGTGTTTGTTTTTCCAAACAAAGTTAACTCTGGAAAAATTGATAAAGATGAAAATGCTGTTTGAAATTTATCAAATCAGTTTACATGTCATGGATCAGTTTTAACTATGCAAACTAGATGAAATAGTTACCTGAGTGTAACCAAACAGAAAATGCATACACTTATGAAATCCCGACTTTAGTGGTACTTAGGAAAGTATTCTTGTAACGCAGATGAAAGAAAAGTATACAATAATCATCGTACCTTTACAGTGTGTTTATCGTGTGAAAGTCATAAAAATTTTATTAATATTCAAATCTCCCAGAATCTCAAAGTGTATATATATATATTTGAAAAATATTTGTTGTTACTAGCATATTATTTCTAATATTTACCAATTATTATCGTTGTGCAAGATTTTAAAAGTAATAATTTATATGTCTTCGTTATACACAAAAACGTAGATAAGTTTGTTTGTATGCTATATTTGGTTACAAAAACTCCAAGGATTTTTCTACTTCGTAAAAATATTGTCTCAGATACTGCAGCATGAGGAACTGTTTTATAAATCCACAGTTTTCTATCAATATCCTTATACAAAGACCCAAAATAAATTAAAAGTCATATTTACTGAATAAAAAAAAACATTTAAAAACTATAAAATACACACATGCCAACTTCATAGAAATTCCATTAAATATGTATATATAAATATATATGTATGAAAAGCTTTTGTTACTTAATTTTAGTAATATATAATTATTCAAATCTTAGTCACCTAATTCAGTTACTGTAGATAATTTGGGTTAATTTCTTAAAGGCTTTTTTACCCATGTCTGTTTTCGAATGAAAATGTTAACAAACATTACATTAAGAAATAATTATTTGTTAATTATGTTCGGGTTAGAAGAAATGTTTCAAAAAATAACGATTGCTCAAGATTTAAAATTCTTGTTACTTCGTTTTACTCCGATATTTTTGAAAGCCCCGTATAACTATGTAATGTAAATAATCATGAATTAATTTTTATTGATATATAAAAAATTATATTAGGAAATTAAGTTCTGTACATATTTTTGTTTTTCATATATTTGTTTTTGAATATAAATACCTTTTTTTGTGGTTTTTATCATTACATTAATCAAAGCTTGTATATAAAAAAAATTTAAAGAGTGTGTAATATGTAAAGTGGGCGACAAAGTTGAAATGTATACTCTAATACCAACTAAATATATCATATGTAAATATATATTTCACGTAGAATTAATTACATTACTTATAATAACTATCAATCCGCTTTAATAATGTTTTTGTTAAGCCTATTAAAATAAAAATATATTTGTATTACATTGTATGCTTATGTTTAACTAAGCTAAAAACAATTTTTATATTAGGCATGGTTTATGCAAAAATATTATTTCTATTTTTAATTATTCATACTTCTATTTAAAGTATTTTATAAACAATTAAATACATAAATCCAAAATCTTAAACTTAATTTTGATCGAGGAATATTTTGTACTGCGGCATTTTCTGAAGAAATATCAAAATTGCATTGCATTAAAGGAATATATTTATTAATGCTTGATAACATAACGCAATTTTATATGTTATGACCTCAACAGATACTATCTTAAAAATAAGAATTATTTAGTTCAGTAATGAATAATGCGTATCAATAACCTGCAAACAGCAAATGCTATATCCTCCTGATCCAATAAAATTATCTTTTAAGAACAAGGTAACTCCGTTTACCATTCTGAGGTACACTATGTATACAGTATACTAATAAACTAATGGTTTTTATTATTATTTTCAATATGTATATTAATCTCATATACACTGTAGGTGCATTTAAAGAAACCAGAGTTAGGTAATGTTTGCTTAATTGTTTATAATTTATCAAACCAATATAGGTTTTCAAAGATTTATATTTTATTAACGTAATATCTTTCACAATAAAAATTTTGTCATAGCTTGGGAATGTAGAAATATTTGTAACCTTATATTTGAATATCCGTATTTCCTTTAAGCTGTTTATTTAGAGATATTTTGTAGGATTTTGTTTTCCTATTTTCATTAATAAAATTTATTATAGAATATAACATTGTCAGAGTTTTGTGCCAACACAATATAACAATTTATTTGACATTTAAAGAACCCTTTGCAAAATTAATTCTAACCAGCCCAAAAGCAAAAATAAAAAACTTTTAAAGAATTGAAGCTGAATAAATAATTATGTGATTTATTTATAAATGGCTTCTATGTAACCTTTCCTATCTAAAAGGATTAGCTCTTGTTTACAACATTGTGACATCCATTCAACACGGATATTATTAACTACATGCAGAGTATGCATGAACATTTAGAAACACTACGAGAATATACCTGAATAAGACATATTATATACGTAATAGGTATTGTTTGTTTGTAGTTATGCACAAAGCTACACAATGAGCTATCTGTGCTCTGCCCACCACGGGTATCGAAACCCGGTTTCTAGCGTTGTAAGTCCGCAGACATATGGGGGGCACATAATAGGTAAGTGTGAAATTAATAACGGTTTCACCTAAGAAAAAACCTCCATCTTCTTTATCTCAGGGTCTTCCTTGACACAAACTTTAACATTAAATATTTCTGGCTGAATCAGGAAGTTAAATACAAATCTTAAGATGCTATAGTCATTTTCATCAGGTAGCATACAAGAGGCCAGGCCACGACACCCATACAAATAAACAAAAGGGCAACACTTGAAGTCCAGTAATCAGGAAATCAAAATAAAATCAAAGAATAACTTAACGAACTAAAAAATACATTAATAAAAACAAAAATACAATGAATCAAAATCATAATATAATTCAAAAATAAACTTGATTACAACTCAAAGTAATGAACAATACAATATAAACTGAGTCAAATTAAACCACAAACAAAACTTAAGCATATTACAAAAATACAAAATCAGACGTAAGTGGAAGAAATCAAAACAGAAACAAACCACAGCGTTAACTAAGTACAATACAAAATGATACAAAATACGAATAAATAAAATTGTAAATATTTTCATATTTACAATCACTTAAATCTTGCTTTTTGAGTGCTCTGATTGAAGGGATGGTGAGTATTTCAGACACTCGCACTGATTGGCTACCTCGGGGGGGGGGGGAGACGTCATAGGGCATGTTGCTAGGAGCACGTTGTTAGGGGCATGTTGCTAAGCCGCTATGACAGGCGGAAGTTATATATTACCAGCGCCACGAAGTGGTACTAGAGGGCGCGTTGGTATGATGAGTGTGAAGATAGATCAACAGAAAATTAACTTTATAGTAATAAAGTCTTAAAACTAATACGTTAATCTAATTTGCATAACGTCGTGTTTACAAGTTCGCTTTATAAGTAAAACAATCTGTTATTTTAATCTTGTCAACGCACTCTCTGGTTCTACTTCATGGTTACTATCGCCTGTCATGGCGGCTTAGCGACATGTCCCAAGCAACACACTCTCTGGCCAACTTTCATTGTCATGGCGGCCTAGCAACGCGCCCCTGGTGCATGGCACTATGACGTCATAGTCTCTATCCCCTGAGGCAGCCAATCAGTCGGTGTGTCTGAACAATTCCCCTAATTACTTACATCCCTTGCAATGTCATAAGAAGTGGTTTGAGACAACCTTGCGATTACAAACTAATAAAACTATAGATAAAGAGATGCAGTCACGAAAGCATTGAAATACAGCTGAACAAAATTTGACTTTTAGAGGAACTTCAAATAGATTATTTTGTGGACTCATCGTAATTCTCGGAACAAAACTAATTCAACAATTGGTTAAGATCGAAGGAGGTAAATTGTCAGCCTATTTACACATATTTCTTCTCGTCCTCTTCCAATCAAAGTTCCGCCCAGAATCTCTAATTCCTGTTATGAAAGTTGTGTCCAGTCTCTAATGAAGTGTCACGGTTTTATGTATACTTAGGCTAAGGAATATTCTACAGTAGATGTCTGTGATTTTTTGACGATAAATTCGATAATAAGTGAACAGTACATATTCCACTTGTTTTGAAATAATAGATTCAAATCAAGTCAAACTATGTACACAAATTATTTGCACAATGGATATCACAGTTGTAACTCAAACTCTAAATAATTATATTTTCTTATCAAAAGTCCACTTAGGCTGAATCAATTACTTTAGAATCCAATTGACAAGATGAACTATTTTTCTCTACTCTTATCACAATAGTATCAATGAATAATTCACTTATGCTACCCGTGAGTTACCACAGTTGTACCTCAAAGTACCTCTTCAACAGATTGGCATTGTATGCCTTGGTCTTCCCATCAACACGCACGTTATAATGCATTCTGTTGACCACTTCCTGCACTGCAAAAGGTCCTTTCCACTGCCAGGTGAGTTTGTTGTTCGGTCTAGTTCTTCCAAATTCCTACTACCTAGTATGTTCCAATCAAAATGTCATATATTGGTGCATTGATACTCATGGCTTCAAGGTCTCCTACATAATATGGAATATCTACCTTTATTTTTGCTATGGAAAACTTTCTCATGTTCCCATCAGTTAACACACACAGGTGTACCTTGCCTGTCATCTGGTTATCAGTTACTAGACTGGTTCTCACTGATGCACTACTGCATCTAGTGTCTACAGAACCTTCACCTTCTTGTCCTCAACATAGCCTTCACATATTGGCATATTCCTTCCTGTTGTGAATCTGACATGTTTTCTTGATTCTGTTTCTTCTGGCAGCATCATCCATGGTGACATTCACTCTTTTCTTATTTCTTACCAACACTATCTTTGTAAGTAGCTCCAGTCGCTGCTTTATGTTGAGATTTCTGCTGTTGCTTGTTGGTAATGAACTTGCACTCCTTTACAATGTGCCCTATCATGTAACAAATATAGCACCCTTTCTCCCATTTGTCTGTTAACCTTCTGACACCTTTGGTAGACTCCTGTTCCTGGTCAACCACCACTGGTTTCGACTTTAACTGGATATTCTTGGACTTGCCAGTTATACTCCCTTCATGGGCTTCCATATACTGTTCTGCCAGCTTGATCATCTCATCTACGTCTTTTGGAGCTCTTTCCTTTAGGAACAGTGACACATCAGTTGAGCACATGCTCATGAACTGTTCGCGTATTAGTAGGTCT